GCCATGTACAAAATTGATAGGAGGGTGGGGGGGGTCCAAAAATCGTATACTAGGAAATTACCGCTAAAATTCACAAAAACATGATAAAATCACTAATTTTGCTGAAATATCTATTACAGTTTCTGAAGATTTTACGCCATATTTGATTTAGTCACTTAGTGGATTGGTTCAGCGCATGTGCAAAGCGAAATTTTTACTTTATGCATGCGCAGAATACAAATTAAATGTCGTCTTAAAAAAATAATCAGTATTACTGAATGTTTTAATACTAAATAATGATATACAATTTTAAACAGTTTTTTTGAATAAAATATTCAATTTTTTTTATTTTTTTTTATTTTCTTTATCATTACAGTTTTCTTAAATTTAAAAATAATGAATGTTTGATTCAAAATCCTTAAATTTTTTTTCACCACCCCTAGTATATAATTATTAAATAATATTGAATATATATGTATTTGGTTTAGTAATTTAATTCATAAATGTTACAGTATTTTTGAATTTAAAAAAAATCTATTGTTGGGAAATTTTTATTAAATAATAATGAATATTATTTACAAAAATATTGATTGGAATATAAAAAAGATCCAACTTTGCTCGCTTAATTTTACAGTGTATCCCATCTGTAGTATGTATTCAGAGTTAGATGCCCCGAACAATACATTTGAACAAATATCTAAATATTTCAGTACATTTAACATAATTAAATTTGATTTCATTAAACAGTAATTATCAAAAAATAAAAAATAAATTTTGCGTTTTTTTGTCAAAGGATTTGAGTCTTTGCCACAAACTCAAATTTTGTAGTTCTTATATCTTTGGAACCTGATGGTGTAACATGTGATATTTCAAACTGAGATCATTTGATCTATCAGGGCTCATAGTTTAAAATATCTAAGGTATACAACATATACAACATTGATTTGAGAAGATACAGATATTAGAAAATTAGAGTTTGTGGCAAAGACTCAATTCCTTTGTGAAGAACTTGACATGGCTTTGGGCAAGGAGATATTGAATAGAAGGAGGGGGCGATAGGGTTTCCGTACACTTTGCTGTGACGTTTTTGGACGGCTGAAGAACTAGTTTTTGCGTTACAACAATAATAAAGATTGTAAACAATAACACAAATGATAAACAGACATCTAGGGGGGGGGGGGCAGGATAACCTTGAATATGATTGAAAATGTCTCTGGAATAAGGTCCTTTTCGTATAAAACTAAAATCCTTAACTTTTTCAATCTTTTTTAACAAGATAATACTACTTTCACAGTTTACTAACTCATGTTTGTTTACATTAGATCGGCTGCCTTTGTTATTGTTGTTACGCAAAAGCTAGTTCTTCAGCAGTCCAAAAACGTCACAAGGTCGGATTCAATGATCAGCAAGAATTAGTTGAATTAGTTACATCTAGTTGAACTACTTGATCATCCATTACAATCACGACTACACTAGTGAAGTAGTTTACCCATCTGTATCTAGTTTAGCTACATCTCACTTTACAGTACTTGCAACAAAATGCATTAATCAATAAATGGTAATACATATTTTACTAAAATTTCCATTTTTTTCTTTTTCATTTTTTCACTTGTTTATTTTTCATTTTAGGTTTGACGACAGTATGAATGAAACTTTGACATATAAAATGAAAAAGATGATTGAAATCTTACATTTTTATTTTCTAAAAGTGTCAAATTGTCTAACTCTCAGTATTTAAACATGAATCTTAATGATAAATATTACTAAGAACATGTTTTGTATTCAGATGAACTAATAATTTGTGAGATATTAATTTATTATAAAAATAAATTAATATAGATATATATTGCAGAAATTATATTAAAAATATTGATGATTTGAACTTTTTCTGCTGTTAATTTGCGCTTACACCTTACCAATTACCAAATTAATTATTTTTTAAATAACTCAAGTATACTCTTTTGTAGCTTTAGACATGCTTTTTCTAAAACTATAAATAAATTATTTTTAACCAAATGATATAAGATACATCTATCTGTCTATTCATCTATCTACCTATCTACCTCACTATCTATCTATCTATCTACCTTTTATATGTATCCTTACTATCTATCTATCTATCTATATCCCAGGGGAATGTAATTGATTAAAGTGGGTCTTATATCTTACACTTTTTTTAAGGGGGGGCACAATGTTGCCAAGGGGGGGGACCAGAATATTTTGTGACCCCCCCCTAAACAAAAGCCCTCGAACGCCCCTGGCCCAATGACGTTTATGGATACAAATATACAGACAGACAAGCCAAATTTATATTTAGATACAGAGCTACCCACTAAGGATAAAGGGTTTATTGCCACATACAAATCCAAACATATCAAATTGGATTTCTAAGGTTTTACTTCAAATTTTGCCTTCAAAATATATTGTTAATGGTTTATTAATTGTTGGACAAAAAGATTAATAACTAATAGGAACCATAAACATAAAAAGAAAAAACTAAACAAATTCCGTACAGTCGTCTCATATAGACTCATCCTTTGTGGATAACCCTGTGTATATTATATAGATTTATATATATATTATAGAACTAGTGATTATTACTTATTATAATTAGTGAGAACTGAAAATTAGTAGAATTAGTTATGCCCAAATAGATTCTAGTACAATAGATGGCAACGTAGAAATTCACTCTCAGTACAGCTATATTCTGACGTCACAAGTGTCAACTCAGTTTGTGTGTCAGACAAAGTTATTGATAATAATGATAATTTTAGAATAAAATGCTTATCTTAGACTAAAATAAGTGCAATTTTATGTGTTCTTTATTTTCTGTTTTTACACTTTTTATTTAATCTTGGAAAACATGTCAACTAATTTGAGAAAATTTCGTTTTCCTTGTTATATTTGACACTTGTGACGTCGTGTATAATTGGTCTATTTCTCTGTTGCCACCTATTGTACTTGATCTATTTGGTTATGCCTAATAGTTAAACTACTCATCCCGTACAATCATGGCTACACTAGTTCAGTTCATTTTTTATTAATTTCCACCTAGTGCATGGTTTCAAATTGCATTAATAAAAAAATGGTAATAATATATATTTTACAAAAGTTTTACATTTTTCACTTATTTTTTTTCATTATTTGTATGAATGAAACTTTGACACATGAAGTAAAACAGAATCTTTAAATCTTACTTTTCTATGTTTGAAATGTGTCAAATTGTCTAGTTCACAGTTTTCACATATTTGAGTTTAATACTAAATATTACAAGGAACATTTTTTTTCATTAGATGAATAGTTTCTTAATATTTCTAATAATTTGTGAGATATTCTAAATGTTTATTTAATAAATGAACTATAAGATATATATTACACAAATTTTATTCCAAAAAATTATTTTCTGCCGCTGAATTGTCAGATATTTTGAACAAAAATTCCCATAATTTGGTCTAGCTAAAAAGTTTGAGTAACCTTCGACCAAAAACAGATCTAACTAAAAAAGTTTCAATATGATAATAGAAAAATATTAATATTTTAAATCGATCCTATTTTACTTTTATCATTAGGGTGTATTAAGTACACTATCTAAGTATGCAATATAGCAGATTGCAAGCTTTAAAATTTCTATTTTTGAAAGTTTTTTGTCCGGTGGTAGAGTGGGTAGCAGTTCACGTAGGTTTCCAAAAGCTGAATTAAATGCCTAAATAAGAAAATGTTTAGTTTCCAAAAGCTGAGTTTCCAAAAACTGAGTTAAATGACTGTATAAGTAAATGGTTGGTTTCCAAAAGCTGAGTTAAATTTCTGAATAATAAAATGGTTGGTTTCCAAAAGCATAAAAAGGGCTGGTTTTCCAAAGTTAAGTTTAAAGTTTTAAAGCCGCTTAAAATAACAATGAGCTAATTTTTCCAATGTTTAAGCAAATTATATTTAAATAAAATATAAAACCTCGACTCTGAGCCTCTCCCGTGTGGCATGTGCTCTTCTGTACCTAAAAACAAGGAAATAGATCAAATCACAATTGTCAACTTCTTTGAATTGGAATGCTCAACATTTTGCAATAAATATTTGGGTTTTTGTAAATTTGCCAACATGTTTGCAGCTAGATCATTGAAGCAGAGGTTAAAAAGCAATATTTAATTAATTAAAGTTTTCAAAAAATGAAAGTTAGATTTTAAGGAAAATGTTTGTGCACAAATGTCTCTTTAACACTATCCCAGATTGGGCTCTTTTTGTCTTATAAAGATGGGAGGGATGTTTTCAACCCCACTCTTATGATTTTGTTGAGATAGAGGAGTGTGATACATACATGTCCCTAGTCCAACTTTTGACTGCCTGTTTATTAAAAATATGAAGCTCTAACTTTAATGGTTAGGTTAAAAAAAGAATGTTGGGAAAATGTTGAATTGTCATTTTTAATTTTTTAATGACTTTTTTTAATAAATAACTTTCAGATCTGTAACTTTTGTTGATCTTTTTTGAACACCGACCATCCGTTTGACCGTACTCCACCCCAGCCGCAGCCCCCTAAACCCCACTTCCCTCCACCCCACTCCGTACACGTAGTTCTATCTTCCCTACATAAGGTAAAGAGATTGTACACGTAGTTCTATCTTCCCTACATAAGGTAAAGTTGGAGTAGGTCAGAAGTGGAGTATAGCGGATTTGCGTAGGTCGAAAAATACACACATTATATCTGAGATCTTCTCAGCTGTTAATGGTTAGCGTTCGGCTTGTTCATTGGTTCTGTTCGACAAGACTGGATAGGATTCCGCAGCTTCCTCTTTCTTTCCGCTAGCGTTCTTAACAAAAAATTACATATATATTTTGAGTAATTTAACCATATGCAAGTATAATCCTCAATGTTGTTAGTTTAGATGCTTGTTTTAGTTATAAAATAGTTTCCCGCAAAACAAGAAACAAGCTAAAGAAAACAAAAACCCTTTCAGTTTTTAACATCTAAAATAGATATTCTAGTTTGAGTCCCGTGAATTCTCTAGTTGTTAAAAGTTTTCAAGCTGTTTTTCTTTACTTGTTCCTTGTAACAACACGCTTTGTGAGAATCAACTTATCATTAATCTTAAAGTTTTAATTCTTAGTATGAAATCAAGCTAAAATCTCAATAATTTCTGCCGGTCCGACACATTCAGATTGAATTTTTAAGGGAGAAAGAAAAGTGGGACATGAAAAATCGTTTATTTTTTCCATTTTTTAATATTTATTTTCCAAAAAATTGTTTATTTTTCTCAGTGCTTAGGATCCGGATCCGTTGGATGGGCAAGATTTTGGCTTCCTGGATCAGGATCCGCAAAAATATGTTGATCCACGGATCCGGATCCAAAGGGTAAAATATCAACCAAAAACTGCAAAAAAGATCTGTTTTACTCCTAAACCCCAAATCTGAACTTTTGAAAAAAGAGAGATTATAAAAATTTCCTCATTTCTGAATGGTTTATCAAGTCTTAGGATAAGAATAAGCTAAAGAAATAAAACAAAAAAATTTTGAAGTTATTTTTTGATAAAAAAAATTCAGGAAATCTTAAAGAAATGACCTGGATCCGGATCCGGATCCATTTTTTTCCAGTGCGGATCCATGATCAGGATCCGGATCCGCATCAAATTGAATGGATCCTAAGCACTGTTTTTTCCCTATTTCTCATTTCAGTGAAGACAAATAAACACATTGAACTGAAAAAGCTTAGCAAGAGAGGGGGCTTTTTCAGGGAACACACAATTTCCCTCTATAAAACCATGAAACCATGAGATACACTCTATCCCCAAATTAAACCCTTAAAAACGATTTATTTCCCCCAATTCATGAAATTAAAAACCTGAAAAAAAACATACCAAACACTAAGGGGAAGAGGTGATTTTTCAAGAAAATATACACCCCTGAGAAACTTACCAGTTCTAGTCTCCGACTTTGTCAGCTTGTTGGCGGTCTCGCAAACCTTTGACACACGGAACAACTGGCTCCCCATACTCTTCTGGAACTCGCCAAACTTCTGCTGCAGAACCCTAACAAAATCCAGTAATGAAATTAGGAAAATCATTAAAATGTATCATCAGTTTCCAGGCAAAGCTGGGTTACTTAGCTGGTTGTTTTATAAAGTATCTATTCATCTATTCATCTATTCATCTATTCATCTATTCATCTATTCATATATATATATATATATATATATATTATACCCTAGCTATAAATCTTAGATTGGTCAATAATCAATAAGATTAGATGAATATGTGAATAGATGAATAGGTGAATAGACGAATAGATTGTTATGAATAGGTGAATAGATAAATGATTGAATAGGTGAATATATGAATAAGCAAATATATGAATAGATGAATAGGTGAATAGATGAATAAATGTGTAGATGAATAGATAAATAGATCTTTTGTTTATTCACAGAGTATTTCAAAAATTAAAATTAATCCTTAATTTAGGAAATCATTGTTTTTCTTGCATCATTTGCAACTTGATTTAACAACAAAATATTCAAGTATTTGTGAAATATTAATTATAGAAAATAAAAAATGAATATTTGCACAGCTTGATGAATCGACAATTTAGGGGTTTTTATTTTGATAATAATTTCCCCGCTTATGAGCAAATGCATAATTTTACACTTTTAAAGCTCGTCGACATCGGGAGGTAAGTTTTTTACACATTTAGCGAGGATACTAAAGATATGTGTTTATACTGATTGGTTTTTTCTTTTACCCATTTGTTTTAAATAGCTCAGAATAAAGTTCAAATTAGATCTAAAGTTTATTTAAAGAGTTCTTCAGACCTAAGACAAATCTTAAAAATTTAAACATTCTGGTTTAACTAGCATCATTTACGAATTGGTTTTAAAATACTGAAGAACTAAACCCCATTTTTTCTGTTCTTAAATTATGAAAGAATAATAAAAAATTGTGGATTTATTAATTTTTTTCATCGATTTAAAAAAATCTAAATTCAGCTTACCATCCGTAAAACTTCTCTCAACATGTACGAAGTTGTGGCAAAATTTGTTGGCTGTAGGCTAATGTCTCCTTATCTACAGATCAAGAACATCTCGTAAACCTGCTTCAGGAACTAGATGACAACAAGGTCCTGCTGCAACTTCATACTTTCCGCCAGCTTACTCGATCGGCAGCTTTAAAAAAATGAAAATTTTAAAAATCAAGATTTTAAATTGTGGAGTTTTTGTTAGTTCATTAATTGAAAATTATTATTTCTCAGAACGAAAAACAACGATATCTTAGAAATTAAACACTTAAAATTACGTCGACAGTCCCTTTCATCTTGTTTTTAGAAAATGGTTTATTTAAGTGCTGTGACTAGGACAAAAATAGGTTGGTTACCTAGCTTTTTCTGGAATAAAAGTCAACCAACTGAGTTTAGTTTTTTAAACCATGCATTGTTAAGATGTTTTACTCTCTCTAGTAATTTAAATTTAAATCCTAAATTTAGGAAATCATTGTTTTTCTTGTGCCTTTTGCAATTTTATTTAACAACGAAATATTCAAGTATTTGTGAAATATTAGAGAAAATAAAAAAAGAATATCAAAATTTGCAAAGCTTGATGAATCGACAATTTAGGGGCTTTTATTTTGGTAATAATTTACCCGCTTAGAGCAAATGTATAATTTACGCTTTTAAAGCTCGTCGACATCGGCCAGGAGGTAATTTTTAACACATTTGGCAAGGATACTAAAGAAATGTGTTAATACCGCTTAGTTTTTTCTTTTACCCATTAGTTTTAAATAGCTCAGAATAAAGTTAAAAATAGATCTTTTTTAATTTGAAATACTACAATTTGAATTTGAATGCTTTCTTTCTTCCCAGTGCAGTGCTTTTCTCTTCTTAAATTATCAAACAATAATAAAAATAATTGCGGATTTATTAAGTTTGGTAATTTCTTGGAGAAAGATTTTTTTGAAGATGGATCTTAAAACTATAGACATGAATATATTTGGCCATGCTGCCGCAGCGCCCGGCCCCTAGCCTTCCGTAGACGTGGCGCTCGGCCTCTTAGCCGCAGTGCTTGACCCAGCAAACTGGATGCAGGATACTGGCCGTAGACGTGGCGCTCGGCCTCCTAGTGGTAGCGCTCGGCCCCTAGACTGTCCTAGCCGCAGCGCTCGACCCAGCAAATGATCTTGACCTAACCTAACCCTAAAAAATACAAAATGAAGAATAACAATTTATAAAAAATTAATGGTAACATCAAAAATTGATAAGAGGGGGGGGGGTCCAAACATCGTATTAGGACGGACACTCGAGAGTTTTTTTCTGATCTTGAAAACCATGATATTTCATAAAATAACAATTTAACAAAACTAATCAAAATTGTATGCGATTATTTACTAGAATATGGCCAGCTAATATTCACAAAAACACGATAAAATCACTAATTTTCTGAAATATCTATTACAGTTTCTGCAGATTTTACGCCATATTTGATTTGGTCAGTGGTCACTCACTTGGTGGATTGGTTCAGCGCATGTGCAAAGCGAATTTTTTACTTTATGCATGCGCAGAAATGTTGTCTTAAAATATATTCAATATTTTTGAATGTTTTAGTAATAAATAATGATATACAATTTTAAACAGTTTTTAAGAATAAAATATTCAATTTTTTTAATTTTTTTTATTTTCTGTATCATTACAGTTTTCTTAAATTTAAAAATAATGAATGTTTGATTCAAAATCCTTGAATTTTTTTTCACCATTCCTAGTATATAATTATTAAATAAGATTGAATATATATGTATTTGATTTAGTAATTTGTTTCTAAATGTTACAGTATTTTTGAATTCAAAAAAAATCTATTGTTTGGAAATTTTAATTAAATAATAATGAATATTATTTACAAAAATATTGATTCGAATATAAAAAAGATCCAACTTTGCTCGCTTAATTTTACAGTGCGCTTAATTACGACTTTTTAATTTAGAGCATGCTCTATCATATCCATTCACGCATTTTTCGATACACACACCTAAGATGTTTCTATGATGTTTTTAATGAATGGTACTGACGCTGCTTGACATAACTAACGTATTTATTGTTACTTTTTATAAGACATATTATAGGTAATTTAGGCAATTTTAACCAATTTATTATATAGTATATTATAATATCTAAAATATATATATAGTCAATTATTAGAAAAAAGGCTTTTTATACCTACAGTACATCAGCTAGGGCTTGGATAGCATTCCCTTTCCTTTAAGGTTTTAAATGGCATATTCAATGGCAAGGTTATACAATAAGGTTAGTTACATCACTGATTAAAGAGGCGAGATAACGTCATTGTACAACGCATTTAATATGATTTTGTTTCAAACACATTTATTACATACAAACGCAGACAAGCCGTGTCAGGTGGATTTAACGGTTCTGTCAATATTCCAGAAAGCTCTAAGCGGGGGGGAGATTACATGCAGTTTTAAATATTCTACCACACAGGCCAGTTGGTCTCGTATTGTGTTAGGTAGTGAGCTTAAAAGGATTTAAGTCAAGAAGGGGGGGGGGAACCTTCCACCCCTGACTCACTTAATTGCAAAGAATATTCTATATATTTTATATACATATATTTCATGAATTGTTGAAATCCTAGGATTTTAAGAGTTCTTGATAGTTTACAGTTTACACACAAGTTTGTCAGTTTATTTGATTGAGTACACTGTAAAATTAAGCGAGCAAAGTTGGATCTTTTTTATATTCGAATCAATATTTTTGTAAATAATATTCATTATTATTGTATTTATATTTCCCAAAAATAGATTTTTTTTAAATTCAAAAATACTGTAACATTTAGAAAGGAATTACTAAACCAAATACATATATATTCAATCTTATTGAATAATTATATACTAGGGGTTGGGATAAAAAATTCAAGGATTTTGAATCAAACATTCATTATTTTTGAATTTAAGAAAACTATAATGGCATATTTTCAAGCGATCCTTTATTTAAAGAGGGACATGGTCACATGCCTGTTTAACAACAGCACCCTTAAAGGGAGTGTTCGCGAAAAATGAAAATTGGGTATAGGCTTAATGCGATTTTTGGTTTTTTTTTATAATTTTCGCTGGAGTTGAATTTTCGAACATTCCTAGAAAATATGAAAATATTGTCTTCATTATCAAAAAACCTCAAAACAGGAATAACTGTTTTAAAAAGTAACTGTCAGATCATGAAAAATACAAAATATTATGGAATATCAACTATATACGAATGCGTCGAAAAATAATCGATGACTATTGCTTGTAATATCTGAATGATTTGTTTGGAATTATATTCATTTGTTTACGATCCGAATTGAATATTGCAGCTTTCTGAATTTGTATGGACACTACGTTCTTCGGGATGAGTCGTTTTTAACTATTTTCTCCTTATAGACGCAACAGATAGAAGTAAGATTAGTAGCGATCAAAAGCGCTTTATTTATCGCATTAAGCCTATACCCCCTTTCATTTTACGTGAACACTCCCTTTAAACCCTTTATCTGATCAATGTGGAAGATACAGTTGTTTTTCTTGCTAGTATTTAATTGATGCAGGGTAACTTGTTATTGCGTTTACAATCCCTTTAATTAAGCTAAATTTCAAAAATATTATGCTACACAGGAATATTAAAAAGGAAAATTGTTTTCAAAATATGGATATTTTTTTTACATAAAAAAGGTTAAAAAAAAGGTTTATAATTAAATTACTTGTAGTGCTGTAATAAATTCAGGGGATTGTGCATAGTTCAAATTTCTGCTTTATCTATGTTTTTATGTGACCCTGACCGGCCATTCTGGTCAATCTTTATTTACCTGTATCAATAAATTAGTATAGTACGAATCTTTGTCTTAGACAGACATATAGAGCCAGGGTTGGCTAGAGATAAAGTCAGTAAAGACTTGTTATTTAGAGTCAGAGTCAAATATTGAGAGATTGATCAGGACCTAAATCGTTGTTTTTAAGTATGAAAAGAACTTTCTGCATATTTTTTTATGATTAGGCTAAAACCTAGCGGTGAGTGTTTGCTCCTGGTTTTCACTATTTTGCTAAAATCATCAGATGGGGTTCCTTTGCCTCAAGCAATGAGTGGTATTTTTTAAATGATTTTTGAAAAATTTAGTTTTGTTAATATTGTAAATATCCTTAAAAATTGGGGGGTTTTTTCTTTTAAACTGGAAATTTACATTCTTACTTAGGTTGGTTAATGCAATCTCCTGTTAACGTTCGAAAACTTTATCTCTATCATCAAAGTAAAACATGGAAATTTTCTACAAACCTTTTATTGCTCAACAAATGAATAAATAAAAAAAAATACTAGTAAAAGCGGTGTGAAGTGTTCTAGGAACATAGATTTAAATTATAAAACTGTAGGTCCATTTTTTCCAGCAGCCTATGGTGGAGTTAATTCCGACAGGTAAGACAATGAAATTTTTATATTAATTACTATAATTCTCTAACCTAGCTAATAGCTAAATATACAATTATAGACTGTATCCAGTCTCCTTAAATGTTCTGTAATAAGTTCCATGTTCAATAAAAGTTAGTTACTTGTGATCTATATCTTGCCTTAACATAACTATTTACATAGTAACATAATGCTGTTATCAATTAATAAGTTAGGTAGTCTAGCTTAAATGAATTCAATCAATAACATTTAATGTTTTAGATTCAATACTGGTGTAGATTATGCAGCAGGAGGTAAATCAATTTCATGTATCTGCATTCTACACAAAAAATAACAATTAGTCACTTAAGAGTCACATTCATTGGGACTCTCTTAACCTTTTTATTGTTGCATAGGGTAGATTGAAGAAAAGTCAAACAGCAGGTTGGTGTTTTAAAAAAATCAAAACAGTTGATAACATTTTTATTAAAAATCGCTTGAAACATGGATGTGTCACATCATCACATGTTAATATTTATCAAAAGTAAAAATAGGTATTTTTAAACATTTCTCCGACATGCTATTTAAGCTTTTTTTAATGCCTCCCTTGCACCCTAATCATTAAAGTTAGAGGTCTTATTCCTTTTTTATAAGCTTGCCTTGAAAAGTTATGGACTTGCTTGAAAAGTTACGGACATGTATCACACTCCCCTATCTCAAATAACAAAATCATAGGAGTGGGGGGGGGGGAAAATAAGTCCCCCCAATCTTTATAAAACAAAATTAGCCCAAGCAGGATAGAGTTATAATACAAGTTTCTCACAATGGACAAGAATTCAGAGACAACTTAACAGAATTTAATCAGCCTTTTTTATATTTATGGTTCCCTGCATATGTAAACTAAATGTAAATCAGAATGCAAACAGTAGGGGTTCCAGCAAAATTACGTCAAAAATTCACAAAATTTCTACATAGTAGTTTCCCAAAATTTTGTAATGATTACATATAATAATCAAAACTTAATTTTTGTGAAATCATGGCTTTACAAGATAATTTCTCGAAATTTTGTAAAAACTACTTGTGATAAGCAAAACTTCAATTGTGCTGTAACTACGCACAATTTCTACAAAAGTAATTTCGCAAAATGATGCAATAATTTTGCCTAATTAGCAAAACTTCAATTTGAAAGTATTTAAATTATCCAATCACATTGGACATGGTTGTAACGAGCATACCTTACACATATTTTCCCTATATATTAATTTCTGAGAATCAATATGTACTTTTACCAATTACAGAATGGTTTCATCTTACGTATTCTCATGTAATTACGCAAAACTACAGATACATAATTGACATGTAATTTGAATACTGTTCCTCCGTAAGTGAAAGAAAGTGTTACGCACCATTAGACATAATTACATGTTTTTCGCGACTATGCGATTTCCCTTAAGACCTAATGAAAGTTTGCTAAGTACCGTGCGGTTTTTCTCCAGATTGGATTGTAAGATCTCCTCTTTCAGTCGCTCTCCATGGTAAAAGAATGAACAGGATAAAAGCTCCGAATCTTTGTTTAACCAAAATCTTCAATCTAATAAATAAACTTTGTTACTCCACAGAAAAAGCTTTTGAGTCAATCAAGCCATTATAAGAACTAAGAAAATCAACTCAAGCATTTAAAAACTGTGGGATGGAGCGATACATTATAAATCATCCAATATGAAACACAAATATACGATATTCATACATATAAAAAGAATATTTACAGAAGTGATCCTCGAATTATTGGCACGGTTTTTATACTATCAACACATTAAACGTTTTACAACTACTAAAATACGAGATCTGCCCGCTTCCAGGCGAGAATTCTGCGCATGCCTAGACGAGCAGTATACAGTTTCTAAAACTAGTTTTTCAGAAACTTTTCTGTACAGATATTCAGGGTAACCTCAGAAGTACACAGGGGCGTCACATAGACTTTACTCACGGAGCATGGCTTGTGTAACAACGTGTAACATAATTACAACTGGAAACCTTGACAATTAGAAAACATTCAAATTGTTTTTACCTTTATAGTTTTAAATTGTCATTTAAGTTGCATCCTTTGTTAGTAACCCTGTATATAAGTAATATGTGTGAATATGAATATATTAGAAAGTAGATTAAAAATTAAATGTTATTAGATTTTTAGATTTTTATCCACGATATGATTCAGCTCCACCAAAGTAAGCTAAATTATTGTATTTTTCACCCATGCACAACCGATGTACATTTAGAATACAAGCTGGGCCAACCTTTGCAATCCTGGTACTAGATGGTAAAAAGATTTGATTGTTATCAAAAAAAATTCAAAGATGAGTATTTCCACTCAGCGTTTGGATTTCAAAAGTAGCGCCTTAAATATTTGAGGTTGCGTGATTGTAACAGCTGGTTTTTATTTATTTCTTCCTAGTTATTTTATTATTGGCATTCTACATCACCTGATACTTTTCTTTTAATGTAAATATTAGTTTGTGTTATTTTGCTTATTCAGTAGTAAATTTTCAGCATTGCATTAGCATAAAAGAATGAAAAATGGAGGGGAAAAATGCAGTAATTAAGAAAATAACTAGAAAACAAACTGACAACTATTTAATTGGCCAATCTACAGAAAATCTCCCGTCTGATGTGCTGCCTACTTCAGGTACAATTGTTAAAAGGAGTAAGAATTGTAATTATTTTGTCTTACCAGAAAACCTTAAAAATGCTGATTTTTTAGTATATGTTTTGCACTGAATCAAGTATATCCAGAAAGTTGAAAAAGAAGCTCCATTTGACATCGTCACTGTAAATTTGAAAGATTTGGTCACGTCTGACAAAAAGAAATATGCATCTTCTAAAACAGAGGATCTCCAATTTCTAGAGGCTCAGCGTAGAAAGAGAAACAGAGAATGGACAAGGAGGATCAGGTTTATGCCAGCAAATATAAGAAAAATGTTACTAAAACAGCAAAAATCACAGATATAACCATGATAGAAAAAAAGAAAAGGGAGCAACGAGAAGCACTGGTAGAATTGAACTCTGATTCTGATGAGAATGATAATGTAGAACAAACTGTTCAGCATTCTGCTAAAAGCCTAGGAGTGATATTGTTGTTTATGACACTCATGGCTTTGTTACTTTCTCTCTTCCAATTAGAAATATTTCTGGTTTAACAGCTGAAGTTTCAAAGGCCAATCATATTTCAGTAAGGGGAGCTACAAGTATTATATCCAAACTTATAACCAGTGGAGGTGGAGATTTGGACCAGTTCAGCTTTAGTAAGTCTGCAACACACAGACAGATGAACAGTGCAATCAAGAAGAAAGCTAATACGATTAGGGATATGCAGAAAGAATTTGTGCAAAATCATAATCTGATTTTGCATTTTGATGGAAAGATTGATAAAGAATATACAAATGGAAAAGTTTTCACTAATGAAAGATGCTCCATTTTAGTTTCTTCACCAACATTGGAAGAGGATGTGCTGATAGGACTGTCAGTTATATCTCGCTCAGCTGGAGCTCACCAGGTAGAAGGCTTAATCCCACTGTTGGATGAATGGGGAATCCGTGCTTGTGACTCACCTGCTACTCAAACCAGAAAGTATGAGGGTGCCATCCAGCTGATACAGAAAGAGCTGGAACAGCCTGTGGTTTGGATGATTTATAGAAGGCACATTACTGAGCTGCAATCAAAGCATGCAATGCAAATTATAACTGTAGATACAACAGCTCCCTCTGACCCTCTATTTAAAAAGCTGCAAGATAAGTGGAATGATGTTGCCAAGGAAGTTGAAGAAATGGTTGAATCTAATACTTACACAAAGTTTGGTTGGAAAAAACACAGAAGATCATTCCTTGGCGAGAGAGCTGAAGAAGTTCTGCGGTTGTGTCAAATAGCTTCTACACTTGATAGGGATGATTACAATTAGATATGTATGCTGGCTGATCTGTACTTAAGAGTCAAGGTGCCTGGCTTCAAAGGAATTTTCAGACCTGGAGCTCGTCATCATGCCAGGTTCGTGTCAAAAGGGATTTATATTGAAAAACTAGTCATTGTTTTAAAGTTACTTCCCTTTCTCTCAGACCAAGACTTGTATAATATCAGCAGGGCTGCTATTTTTGTTGTCTTGTTCAATGTACCCTGGTTTCTTACTTGTGCGTAACCTGAAAAAGTCCCAAGTAATGATTTACTTGACCTCCAGCAAATTAGAAAGTTTCCTACAGTTGATTCTCAGCTTGCTAATGCTGTTAACAAGAGCCTCTGCCAGCATACCTGGTTCTTTTTGCAGCATCTGTGTTTTGCAGCTATTGTAGATGATGATCTTGATGATATTGTCAGAGCTAACATGGCAGCAAAGCTGCTAAGTCACCAAGTTCCTGATTCCTATCATGTAGGAAACCCTGAGATTAATCTTCCAATATCAGAAATCAAGGAGTTATCTTTTTTAGTAGGACCAGACTCTTGGTTCCTCATAAAGTTGTATAAAATAACAGACATGAGCTGGTTAGAGGTGAAGGTGGAGAACTGGTGGATGAAGGGTTCTTACAAGAGGTTCAAGAAGTTCATCACTAAACTTTCTGTAGTTAATGACTGTGTCGAGAGAGTAGTAAAACTTATCCAGGAGTTTTTAGAATGATGTCAAGATGGGAGTTTAAGACAGGATACCATGACAACAGTTAAGGAATATAGAAGTAAGATAAACTCTAAAAATTGTGTTGTTCTTTGGCTTATATTGGTCTTTAATTTACGATCCCTAAAATTTCGCTATGCAAATATTTACTTTGATGTTAGGTAATCTCTGTAGGGTTTTCTTATTTTTTACAATTTATTTTTTTAATTAAAATTTGTTTTTGACAATGAATAACATGATATCAAAGGAAACTCTAAAAAAAATATAAAATTAGATTCTGAACAGTGTAAAACTTATTTTAAGATACTAAGTGTATGTAAATTCATTATGATCCTGTGGAATTAAACATAATGTGATGATAAAAAAATCTAACTCAATAAAAAGTGTGTATTTTATTGTTTTGGATGAGAAAAATGATGTAAACTTTATTTTGAAATATCTTATAATCATGCAACCTCGAGTATTTTAGGCCCTACTTTTGAAATCCAAACTCTGAGTTGAAATACTCAACTAAGAAATTTTTTTTTGATACCAATCATCATATTTTTTATCATCTAGTACCAGGATTTACAACACACTCCTTGAAAATCCATTTTTCGCTTATTTGAAACACCCTACTTTCCCTGTCCCTCCTGGACATTCATTGGCTAACAGGTGCAACTAGGTTGAAGCAGTCTGACTTCCTGGTTTAATTTACATTCAATATAGTGACAGCTTTGCGCTCATGCACTTAATCATGTATTGTGGTGGAAATATTGTATACATTAGAAAATTTAAATAATACAAATTTTCATTTATTTTAGACTCACAAAAAGTTTCTCTTTTTAATTTGTCATTAATTAATGTAAAGTAGGGCTGGGCACGCTCCGGCTTTTTTGAAATTGTTCTGCTCTGTTCTAGAATGAGGACCTTTTGCTGGATCGATAGTTTCTCATTAGTTCTTTCTCCAATTGTTCCATCCATGTTCTGTTCAAATCCATTCTTGGTGTTCTTTGTTGAGAATGGTTCCAGCCCGTTCCATTCCATTCTTTGTGTTTTTAGTCAAGAACAATTCCATACATGTTCAATTCCCTTATTTGTCAAGAATGGTTCCATCCTTGTGCCATTCTTTGTCGAGAACGGGGGGGTTCTGAATGAAAAGGAACAGGTAGGAGGGGGCTGGCACAGTTGGGTATTNGGGGTAACTGGTTTTTGTCACAATACTCCTCTTATCATGCATTTGTCTTGTGTTTTATTATGAGATGATATCTTTTCATTTACAAACATTGAATGAATTGTAGCTAGCATTAATTTTTTAATTATTTCAATTCATAAATTTATCCTTGAACGGATCCTGTAATCCTGCAATATATTTAGATGTTGTCTTTGTTACAGCCAGTATTTAGGAAGAGAAACATATATCTTATAGTAAAAGCACAAGAAAGCACAGGGGTTCCGGGATTATCCAAATATGTAAATATAATCTGAATATATAAATAGATTCTAACAGCCATATAGAAAAGATTTAGGGGCTCCAGCAGCACCCTAAATCCTTGATTTTGTCAGAGCAGCATGTTGAAAAACCTATTTTAAGAGTTTTCCATGAAATAGCAGGTTTTCTGTGGAAATTCTTAACTTAAACATAACATTTAAACAACTTAGAGATTTTTCTCAAACTAAATTTTCTTAAGGGGCCAAGCCTTATTTGACATAAATTAGAGGTTTGTTGAATAAATTCATTTTGGCTGACCCCTCAAAATATCCCACTGTGGGGGGGGGGGGGGAGTTCTGAATAAAGTTAACTTTCCACAACATGATAAATTAAAATCCTTTGATAATTAATCTTAGAAATAAAGATGCTGTCCTTTTGCTGTGATGGTACACAGCCAGGACCAGGCCAACAAAGTTTCATGCACATCTTGTCTATGCAATGATCTTATTTAGAGATTGCTAAAGTTGATCTGAGCCCCCATTCTGCTGTTAGATAAAATAAGGTGGACCAGAGACCAAATTTAATGAATTTGAGCAGCGGTTTGAATCTGCCGAAAACCGGTTTAAATTAAACGCTGGTTTAAATTTTAAAACTCCCAGTTAAATTTTAAAAATTGGGTTTTTTTTGAGCAACCCTTTTCAGAAATCAGCTGATTTGAATCTATGAGCGCACCATGTTTGAAATTTTTAATTAAATAGTACAAACAAGTTTAAGTGTTCAAAATAAAGTTCACGAATCATTGCAAACACTTTGCATATATGTGTAATGAACTTATAGATATAGACATTTATAATATTTTATTGTATTGTATTTACAATTTATTTCATCCTTAAAAGTCAAAATTTAAACATAAAAACAAACATATGCCAACTAAATCATAGATGTCACCCAACTTGAAAAATAAACTGTGAGTAAGGCAAGCTTCCAAGTGCAATAACTTGAAAATATGGGGTAAGGGGCAAGGACGCCCCCCCCCCCTTCTCAAACATTTTTCCCTTTTTCAGATTAAATCTGTTGTAAAATGTCTGAAGAATTACCGGACATCCCAGATGTTGAAAGGTATGTAATCACTGATAATTTCTTAGAGAATGCTTGT